TACCTCCTCTAGACTCAGCATCTTCTTTGGAGGCTCAGAAGCCGGTTGCTCCTTTGGAACCGTCTCAGCCGCAACAGTCTTCGGCTTCTGGGTAGCGGTGGTGCCCCATACACTTGATTTTGCTTGAATTTCGGGAATATAACCGGGATCTTGGTATTTCTCATATCCCGTCCGCTTGGGAAGTGAAGGTAGGGAGGGTTTAGCGGTGGCCTTGGATGAGCCATGTTGCAAGTTATAGAGCACTTGTTCCTCGCCCAAAACATTTGTCATCTGAGCGGTATTCCCGAAGAAATCAAAGTCTTTGCCCACCGGCTTGTTCTCCCCACCGGCTGCATCTCCAAACGTGTCATCGTTGAAATCGTCATTCGCTTCTTCGAGCTGGTCTCCAAGCCCATCGTAGGTATCCTCAAAGTCAATTCTGGTTTTTTTGTTTTCCCAGTGCAGGAATCGCGGTCAGCACAGTATTAAAAAGGGCGTACTTGGCCAGAGAAGTATCACTATGAGACTCACACATCGTCGTCATCGTAGCCCGCTCTATCTGCTGTAGCGCGAGCAACCTCCGCAAACGGGTCTGGGGCGTCGAAGATGCCCCTCTGCGCAGATGCCGCGGGACGGTCCTCCGGAAGCTTGGTGTCGAACCCAAAAAAGGACATCCTGTCTTAACTGCCGACCAAGCGGCTCACGAAATTGATAGCGAAGCTCCAGATGGGTGCTGCGTGTTGGAAATCGCAAAGCTGAAGCAGCTGAAGTTGTGTGTTTCTGCTTCGTCCTTTCGGTTCTTTTTGGTCGTTGGTCTCTGCAGATCTATGCTTAGTCATTCAGTAGTCATGTTACGATATAGTCAGATCACGTGTATTTGCGATGCGACTCCAAACTCTTATTACAACTCCTGACATGGGTAGTTAGAGAGGACGAGTGTAAGACAGGAGGCGCAGGAGGCTCATAAGGTGACTCTCCCATGCCTTTCCTGTACTCCTCATGCATGCCTCGGTTTTAGCAGTCCCCATTCAGGTACCTTCATCATCATCAGAGCCATGATACAGCGCCAGAGAAACACCCTACGGAGTACTCCGTACCACGCGCTTCTATGCACTGGCTGGGCCCTGTCGCAGAGCCGTAACTTGCAAGATTGCCACTCGACCGATGCATGGTCTGGTAACTAGTTAGTGACTCCTCTCCTGGCGCTCTACCCCCCACAGCTGTATCGAGTTGCGATCTGCTGCAAAGGACCATATGTAGCCACCATTCCGTACTCCGGACGGAGTCCCTGTTGGCAAAATATGGAGTAACTCGCCATATGCAAGAAAGCCAACGTCGCGCCTTGCAGTAACCGGAGTATGCACAATCGGGCCAGAGTAGGGACGCCCGCCAATATATCCACAAACTAGCCATGCTTCCCAATCAATATAGTAATAACAATAGTCTCCAAAGCCGTCTCTGTCATCGATGAGAAAAGGGGGCCGATGACTAAGCCTCGCTGTTTCTTTTTCTAGCTTGAAACGCCCAAAGATTTGCATCTTGGTTAGTCCAGCTCGACCCTGCGACTCTCCACGCGGCTCTCATTAGCCACGAAAAAGCCAGCCTTTTTTCACCTTGCGGAAGGGAGCGCGAGCGATGTGAATGAACACTTCTCTCGATTCTGCACCGCCTCTGCTTTGCTCATTGCCTTGCTTTCTCTCGCTGGCCGACTTCACTTCTTTGTATGCATCTCGTTTGATCCGGAGCACGCAGTACTTCAGCACCGCTCGTAGTACGAAGAACTCGTTTGCCTATAAATAATACACAGCAGAGGAGATAGAAGAGGCCATTCCGCCGCCGTTAAATATCCTGCGGTCGTCAAGATGAACGCAACCCAGGGCAAGTACCTGCGGTACATCCTCTTTGCAATTCTGGTAAGTCGGTCTCGTGGCTTACTTTCCTACACGAAGGCCATAAGCTAGTCGATGATTCTGACGGCGGTGAAATAGGGCCTTGGTATCATACATTTTATCACTTCCTCCTCGCTGCCAATCCCCAAGGCAAGTGATCTTGGTCTATCTTATCCAAAGTCTGGTGGCCAACAGCCCGTCTCGTCTCCGGCTGGCGAGGATAAAGCGCCTGCTCCTCCCACTACTCCTCCATCCACACCCCAGCAGCCTCCTACGCAACAACCCCCCAAACAAGATACCCCCAACCCAGTTACTCCCAATCCACCCACTGGGAATGCTCCTGCTCCGGGTTACCAAAAGGTAAATGCCACGTTCGTCACACTGGCACGAAACTCTGATCTATGGGAAATTGCAAAATCCATTCGCCAGGTAGAAGACCGCTTCAACAAGGACTATCACTACGACTGGGTATTCTTGAACGACGCAGAATTTTCAGATGAGTTTAAGAAGTTTACTAGCAGGTTGGTCTCTGGAAAAACTCACTACGGACTTATTCCAAAGGAGCATTGGTCGTATCCTAGCTGGATCGATCAGAAAAAAGCTGCGGAAACGAGAAAGATCATGAAAGAGAAAGAAATCATTTATGGAGATTCTGAGAGCTACAGACACATGTGTCGCTATGAGTCCGGGTTCTTCTTCCGGCATGAACTCATGATGCAATATGACTACTACTGGCGTGTGGAACCCAGTATCGAATACTTCTGTGACATCCACATTGACCCATTCAAGTTCATGAAGGACAACAACAAGAAGTACAGCTTCGTTATCAGTCTGCCCGAGTACCCCGGCACCATTGAGACTCTATGGAAGAGTACCAGGAAATTCATCCAACAGTACCCAGAGCATATTGCAAAAGATAATAACCTCGAGTTCATTAGCGCTGACGGTGGTAAAACATATAACAATTGCCATTTCGTAAGTTACATTCACCTGACGAATTGTTGCAATTTAACAGCTCCATGCTAATCTGTTATCTCTGAAGTGGTCTAACTTTGAAGTCGGTGATTTGAACTTCTTCCGATCTCAAAAATACCTTGACTTCTTCAACCTCCTGGATCAGGATGGTGGCTTTTTCTATGAAAGATGGGGTGATGCCCCTGTTCATAGCATTGCGGTCGCCCTGATGCTAAACAAGGATGAGGTACACTTCTTCAATGAAATTGCATACAGGCATGTTCCATTCGTCCACTGCCCTACCGGAGAGCAGACAAGACTAGATTTGAAGTGTCATTGCAACCCAGGTGACAACTTTGATTGGAAATCGTATTCATGTGAGTTTTCTGTTTTATTCTCATCACCCTTTCACTCCATATCTCAATAAATATCTAACGTGAAAAGGTACATCTCGTTTCTTTGACATAAACAAGATGAGCAAACCAGCCGGTTGGGAAGCCGAAAGTCATTAAACCGCTCGTCTATAACCCTTGTCACAAATAGCTCACTTCTGATGACCGAGTTGGCTCATTATTCAACCATATTTCTCTATCTCATCACCTATTTCCCTTTATACGATATCACGCTTCCAAATGCCTAGGCTTCCCTTCCTCTTGAGGACAAAAATTGCTACTTTAGAGTTACACAGCACGTTTTATGCCAAAGAGGAAAAAAGAGAGGAAAAAAAAGGGGGGGCCACATCTAAGCGTCATGAGCTTTGTTCTTCCCACCCTATTATCATGACCATTTTACCAAACACTTTCGGGATACGTTCCTATTCTTGCTATCTGTATATAGGCCTTGGTTGTGATTTGCTAGGCTCCTGTTTCCACGATTGCATTATTTGAGATCTTGATGGTATTGGCTTGTATTTCACCCTGTGTATTAAAGAAACTCCTTAAAAACATGTTCTTCAGCGTTTCACCTGCCTGACGATAATATACAATATTTATAACAGTGCACCGTGTGGAATAGAAGATGGTTGCGTAGTAATAGTTGTAAGAAATGACCCGTTATTTATACAGCCCCAATCTCGACTTACTCCTCGTCAATTAATAACAGTAAAAACCGTCCACATCTTAGCTTTCTGCTGTTTTACATTCCAGATTATGTGGAGGCTATTGGCTTCTTCGTTCCATACTTCGAGCGACTGGTCAATCGGTTTCCAACACCATTCTATAGCAATAGTTAGCGCCAATCTCATACCTTCCGGCAAACACCCTACAAGTGGAAACTTACTAAATCCATTGCTCCACGAACAAGACGATATTTCACACCAGGACAATCCTGAAGTCGTCCTCCTCGCACCAACACCACACTGTGCTGCTGGATGTTGTGACCTAGAAACGTCCGAAGTATTTAACCATCAGTTCATCACAAACGAGTTTGGCTCCGAAGGTCCTACCTTCACCAGGAATATAAGCCGTAATAACCTTCCCACTGGTAAGCTTAACCCTCGCGGTCTTTCTTTCTCCGGAATTGGGCTTCTTTGGCTTTTCGACTTGTGTCTTCAAGCACACTCCTTTCAGCTGTGGCCGGTTTACAAGAGCCGGAGATCGCTTCTTTCGTGCTTTTTGGCCAGATCGGCAGCCACGTCGTACTTGATTCAGTGTAGCTTGTAGCTGTGAAGTGGTGGAAAAGCTCTTATGGAACGCATTCAGAGCAGAGGATCGGAGGAGGCACTGAGAAGACAGCGCGGAAAGGGTGCAGTGCGGCTTTGGCGTGGTCGAAGGGAATTGACGCTGAATTATATGGCGGAAGAACCGCATCGTAAGAAGTGAGGGAGACAGCGCCATTGTCATCTATTTGCTTCTTCTTCTCCGGTTGTCAGTAAACTGGAAGTTCTTGATAGTATTCTTTTCGTAGATCTCTCGATTTTTTGATAATCAATCACGTGATGCATATGGGACGAAGTGCCAGGTTGGTCTCTGCGGGTCGCCGGATAAGCTTTACGTTGTTGACTCGTGCCTGGCGGAGCTTGCTTGCTTCTCACCTACATCAACTATATCAACGACTCCTCTGCACTGCATTCTCTGAGCCTACACTTCTTCTCCTGGATTTGAGGAGCAGCTAGTTATATTTCAATACAGACAGTTTTCACGGGAGTCCTTAGAAGTGGTTTCCATAACACTGCCAGCCATGGTAAAGTACTCTCATAGACGCAGTTTTCGACGAGCACCTTACAGAGCATCGGAGGCGCCATAGAAGAAATTTTGCTGTTACTAACGCTTTGAACAGTCTCTTCGCATCACTCCTCAAACCAACTACTCCTCAGAAACCTCCAATACCTCCAAGAAGACCCCACAACCTCACCTCCGCAATGGCGCTCCATCTGCCCCAGGTCTTCCAGATACTCTCCGCTCCTCGCTCACGGCAGCCCCAGAAACGTCCGGCCTGCAGAAAACCAACTCAACACACCCCCTTGAAGCCCGGCTGTTGAATTGGCGCCAAACACAAGATGCTATGAAAATGGAGTCTATTCGGCGGATTCATGGCATGGCGGAGCCAGTACGACGAGGTATGGAGATGAAGATTGTTCGTGAGAGTCAGTGGAAACCAGCAGTCCTAGGTGGGAATATGCATGGAAGTATACATGAGGATATTTTGGCCCTAGGTGGACGGGAGACGGAAGTTACTTGGGAAGACGTGTATCCTGGTACGTATATCAAGGATGATATGCTATGTGACAACTCTCAAAGAAGAGTCGCTAATATCCGTTTCTAGGAGATGAGCTTCGCGAGCCTCCTAGCTTCCATGACGAGCTGGAGCATAGGTTGAAGATGAACTAATGCCTCCGTTTATCATAGAGAAGTGGATTTGTTTTTCAATGTCATGTCCATCGATTTGCGAGATGAATACAATTTGAGTATTCAAGGCAATACAAATCCGTATTCTAACTCCAGTCTGGACGCTATGTTAAAGTCATGCGAAGTATTTACGGGAAACTTGTTTATTCCATCCACATTGCCAGGACGTCTCTATAACCTAATGAATGAAAACAGTATGAAACCAACTCAGCGAAGTAGAAGAGCGTAGGCTGTACAAGGGTCGGCAACATCCATATAGAACTTGACCTAAAATCAAAGCGGGCAAACGTGGTATTGCGTCATAAGCATATCCTACCTCTATTCGTCGCTTTTCGAATCATGGTATTATGCAGGCGCATGAAGGAGCGTTAGAAGTGGCAACTTGGAGAGATTAACAGGCAGCAAAGGGATAAGTTGTTACATAGGGCATTGAGTAGGGCCGGATAAGGGAGTGACAAGTAACAGTGTATCAAATCGAATTAAATGCAAGCAGTGAAGGGGACAAATACAGACCTCCGATTCAATCGCCTATTCCGACCATCAATTCGCTGTACATATATCATCAAGCAGGGAACTGGAAGGGAAATCAAGGCACAAAGCAAATATGGAAAAAAAAAAGAGTATTTCAAACTGGTTAGAAGAGTTGAGGAAACCGGAAGGGAAATAGCAGATAGAAAGAAAAGTAAAGCAGAACAAGTGTATGACGACTATACAAACTCCAGGTTGCACCACCAAAAAAAAAAAAAAAAAAAAAAAAAAAAAAAAAAAAAAAAAAAAAAAAGAAGAAGAAGAGGAAGAAGAGACAAATAGATGAAACGGGCAAGGATAAAGTCAGTATTGGCGGTAAGTCGAAGGAACTCCGGGTTAAGACGAGTGTAGGGGTGTAGGAGCATGAGGAAAAGGAGTGTATGCGGTGCCTGCGCAGTTATGGCATTAAGATGGAAACATCTCCCCCAAAATCACCAGGCCTCAGTTTAGATTTGTGGGGAATGAGAGCTTTTATAAAATAAAAGAGTAAGAGCCAATTATAATATAGCACAGCGGCAGCCGGGGCTTCTTTCTCCCTCTTCATGCTCCCGGCTCTGGGTGCTTTTGGCGGCTTTTGCATCTTCTTCGTCGACTATCTCTTGTGGCTTGATGGTCATATGGACCACATTTGGGCCTTCTCGGTTGAATCTGCATTCTGTATACGAAGTTAGAATTCCTGATATTCCCAGGACGTAGATATAGATGATTCAACTCGGAGCAGGCGTACCAGAGAGTGGCGACTTGTCATCCAATAGCTTTCCAAAGGATATAAGTCGGATAGCTGCCGGAGAGGATGGACGAGGTTCCCAGTCTATGGGTGATATGAAACATCAGCAACCGAACATTTGTATAGAAGAGGGTATAGAATAAGTTCAAACAAAAAAATAGGAATAGACAAAAAAGGTGTTTGATACATACCTGACCTCCATTCCCTCCATATTAATTCTTTTAATGTATATACAGACATGGAGAACGGGTCGTTGTCAGCAACATTAACCTCTCGTTTCCGTAGATATTTGCCATCCAGTTTAAAAGGATGCTTGCCGCCGGAGGTAAGCAGGATATTGAGGAGTAAAGTAGGTCCATCGTTTGAAGACGTAGATTGGGATAAGGATACTGAAGGCTGGCCCTCTACGGACGCCCCGATACTCGACTGGCCAGCCTCCTCTGGTGATATCGATGTAGGCCCGCCAGCCTCCGGTTTCGAATCTGGCTGCCGAATTTGTTGTTCTTGTCCAAGGCTTAACTGTTGTGGTGATGGCTGCGGCTCTGCCTCCTTCGCGTCCACAACAGTACCCTGGACAGCCTGTTCCTGTTCGCCCTCGGGCATACGCATATTCTCTTGCAAAGCGACAGCTGAGGTCTGAATGCTGGTTCCATGGGCAAAATCGTCCGCTTCTGGTCGCGTGGTGGGGACGCTCGATTCATTCGGTGCACTGTCGGCTCTCGTTCCCTTCTCTGCCTCGTTCACAAATGCCATCCTCCTCGATCACTCCAGGTCACGGAGTAGTACACTTAAATTCCAGAGTGTCCCGGTACGTAATGCAGCAGAGAGACGGGGTCAAGGACTCAGGAGGCGAAAAAAGTGACGACTTAGTGTTGGCGGTCCGGGGCAGAACGGCGCGGGAGGTTTGACGGGGAGGAGCTGACAGAGAGCAAACGAACGGAAGGGAATAGCTGATGTCTTTCTACAGCATGCTGGAGAGGAGGGAGAAATGAAAGATGATGGGGTTTTTGTCGCCTTCTTCTGCCGTCTTTTCGTCCCTGTCGCTGATCGAGGTGTTGATAAAATTATATGTAAGACGGGGGTGGAGAACTCGGGGGTTGCCTCCCAAACACTCTAGCGCAGTGTGATATGTATAGATATGGAGAAAGGGGCAGCGCCAACAGCAGCAGCGTTCGCCCTAGAATACCATGGCCGACAGAGGCCGTTCCCCGCTCAGGCTGAATACTCTCTCCCTTTTCCTTCTGCTCGTCCTTTCGACTTTTTTGCTTCTTTTCTTCTGCCGTTTTCCAGGTTCTGTTTCATCATCTCGGCTTCTTCGGCGATGTCACGTGATATGGCTTTTTTCGCCCTTGTCGAAACCACAACCTCATCGCCGCGACCAAAGAAGAGATACATTTAAAAGAACGAGGGATGGGAGATGGACAACGGAATATTCTATTGCCCTTTGGATGCTCTGTCCATGCTGGCTGAGATAGAGCGTCGGTGATAACAAGATCTTAGACCTGACGGATACCAATCTGATATACCACCACAGCCACAACCAGAGGATGGGTTGACGCTTGAGAAGCCATGGTGCTATCCGAACTGTCCAAAGGCATGCATTCAAGAGACCTGAAGCAAGGAAACGTTGAGACTGGGTCGATCCGGTCGGCGTCAGGGTCGACTCATGAGCCGCGACCCAAGTCTGCCAGTACCGCTCCCTCCCAGAGCTCAGCCGCAAGTTCCAGTTACAGAGCTTGTCTCCTCTCTGTTCACGATGAAAACTTCTCCCGGGAAGACGTTTTGTTCAATCGACAGGCCCTCGGAGACTGGGCTGTCAAAGTAGGAGATCTCATCGAGTTGTCTGCGCTTTATGGGGAACCTCCCTCGGATCCCCAGCTGGAGGGAGAGTCTACCAATATTACCAATTCTCAGCAAGAGGAGCCTGGAGCCAACCCAACTCGGGGTCAGAGTGGGGGAGGTGCCGGTGCCGGTGGCCGTTATAGCCCTCTGCCTAGTTATAGGGATTCACGCCGTGGAGATGGCGCATTACCAGACTCATCTCATGCCGTGGGCAACTTCCTGTTTATTGTCAAGCATATGCAACCAGAAATCTTAAACAGACATCCCAACCTTCAGATATCAGTCTCAAATCAGGTTGCCAACCGGTTTGGATTCAAGAAACGATCCCGGGTTCTATTGACTGTGAAGCCACGGTCGCAATGCTCAGCTACACATGTGGAGCTAGTGTTTCGCGATCAGTTCCTACTGCGCGCGGATATGTGGAGGATGGCCATGTCTGAGTTACTGGACCGGCCTCTCTACAAGGGACAGAAGATTGTTTTCATGAACACAGTAAAAGCAACAGTCAAGTCTATCTTTCAGGATGGTCGAAAAGTGATGGCTGGGTACTTTACCCCTCGCACCATCCCGATATTTAGGAGCGAATCGGCTAGATATGTCCTATTCATACAGATGTCCAAGGAGATGTGGGACTTTAACACTGAAGGTACTGGTGATATCCTGTTTAGTCGGGTTGTCGACGGTCTACTACCTGAACTGTTCAAACGTTGGGCTACTATCGATGCGCATCATCTGGTTACCATTGTCATGTTTACCAGAGTTCAGTATGACCACAATATTCCTGCTTCTGATGAGTTTATACCGATGAACCTCAGCAGCAGCTCTCTTAACCCAACTACAACGGGTGAGGCTGGAACTAGTGTACAGGATTTCTATCGAGTTGTTGTCAATGATATGCCTAGTGGCCGGTGGACAGCTATCTTGGATGAACTAAAGAGGGAATTTAGAACTTTCCTTCGTGATATCTTGATTCCGTCACCTCAAACATCGGGGGACGAGGCTTCCGAACTTGAGGGCTCTCCACCAATTGCTACTGCCAGTACCTCGCCTACTATAGCAGGCCACCTCACATCAGCAATAAAGGGCAATATCTTAGAAGCCATTAATATTGCTTCATCCTACCTTGATTTTGAATATGTAGGTCGTGACCTCGTTAGGACGGGAACATCTATTGTTATGATTACTCCTGGATCAGGCACCTTTGAAGTGGGATTTGATACTCTTGCCTTGACTTCGGATGTCCTGGGAAGCCGTTCAATTGGCATTGATCTCATATGTTTGAGTCCTATGCCGTTACATTCGGTACCTCTATTCAAGTATAAGATACCTAAAAGACGCTCTTCACAGTCGTCAGTTTCTACCATAAATAGTGACACAGCCTCCATTATTGGGCCTTCTGAGGTTGCATCGCCAACGTCCACTAAGACTACAATTGCGGCCTGGCCTCCTACCCCAAAACCTACCCATCTTTCTGATACGCTCTCACGGGCAACCCAGTCAAGTTCTGCTGTAAAGACAAGTCTTAACCCTGAAGAATGGGGATATGGTATTCCATACTGGATTGATATCTCCTTCTGGGGTGCTCACAATTATCAAGACAAAAAATGGAAAAAAAACAACGTCACACCTCCAGCTTTCGGCACAGTTGCGCCCCAGCCGAAGTTATTCCAGCCCAAAGTGCGAATGTACGAGATACAGATGATGGGGGTAATGGAAAGCGAACAGTCGAACATTTCTATACCAAACCTCCATGTTGGGCATTCAGTCATAGACGAAACAGCCGTGCGCCCACGCAGCTCTGAACTCGGCACCCTGAACTCTTCGTCCAATCTGGCCTCACATACTTCGTCGCACAAACCTCAAACCCGTGATAGAGGACAACCCGGATCCTTCATGTACAGCTTTAAAGACTCTAAGAAGTTAATTATGTCCTCCCAGGAAAAGAAACGGACAAATATATCCGAATGGATGGATTCGTATGATGAGTTGGCATTCCATGTACGATCTAAGAAACGACCATCTAAACGGCATCATAAGCCGAAATCACCTAGCCTTTCAAACCTCTCTCTCTCCTCTAGGCGAGCCCATCAACAACAACCTCGGACTCCTGTTCGTCAAAAAAGCTCAACTACGTTAGTCCCTGCCCGCCCTGCTGCCATATCTCCAATAACTACCGTCTCGGGCACAAGTTTGGCAAAAGGGTTACCCACGCTTCCCACTGCATCAAAATCCAATAATAAGTCTAATCTTAAGGATACCTCGAAACCATCGACTTCACGTAGTACCCGATCGATTAGCTTTGCATTGCTAGGTTTTGGTCGTGCACCTCCAACTGCTACTGCAAGCACGCAAGTGAAAGCCGAGTATGCAAAAGCTTTACCGACAGCAAGTGGAAAAACCCCTGATGAAAATATATACGATCCCAAGCCAGAAGACCATCCTCAGTCACCCAGCTCTCTCATCCCAGCTGTCGCGGAACCACAGGCACAGCATGTAGACGAAGGTAGCCGTTCAGAGCTGCTTCCTTCGCAGCCTATATCGATTAGAACGGCAGTCAGCCATAATCCTGAAGAGCCCAGTGTAGCTGCGGCATCTCTGGACGGTTCATTTACTGCTCATGTACCAGAATTGAGGCATGAACCGGGAAGTTTATATGAAAGCCATGCCGCAGGCTTAAAACGCACTGGCCGCAGGCTAGACATGGCGAACAACAGTATTTCCGGAGCTGGAACTGCCTTCCCATCTCCCGAAAAAGCATTAAGCCCCTGGATAAAACACGTTAAGCCATGGAACCCCCCTAAACACCTTCCTACAAGAGAGAGCTGGTTTGGACGTTGGCATCACGTTTACCCCCGCAAGCCAACTACCTCCTCGGTGAACTGGAAGAGTCTGAAATCCCCAGCTGCGCTACCTTTGACCACCGAAGATTTCCCGACAGAAGAAGAATTAGAAACGAATTACTTGCAAAAGCCCTATACGGTTTATCAAGATGAAGACTCGGATGTGTCTGAAAGTCCCAAAACCCGGGATGCGTTATTAAGAGAAATGATTTCCCTACGGTTATCCCATGGATTTCAACTAGTCCTCCGAAATCAGCGAGACGACCTCACGTTTGGGGACACTATTTTTGATCTTAGTGCCTTATCGAAGGATAATGTGACTATCTACATGTCAATGGGAGGGATCATTCACCGCTTGGTATGCGTTGGCGGAGGTGAAATTGAAGTGACTCAATTCACACGTAAGCCTCTCAACGGCTATTTACAGGATGCTAAGGAGCTGGAAGTTGCCTATCGACCTGCAGTCAAGACAATTCAAGGAACACAGTATCGAAAAAGTTGCATCCGCCTGGCACTGTCCCAACTTGAATATAATTGGAATTTTGCAGATTCATTCCTTGCAGGCCATCGAGATCACTTAGCTGACTCTTTACGCCAACTTAAACACTGGCGTACACGTTTCGTTTTAATCCCAACTCACATGTCAACGCATTCCCGGCGCAGTAATTCTTCCTTGAATGAAGATAATGAAGAAGAACGGCACTTGATGGGTATCTACCAATTAACCCAAGTTTGGCAACGATACAAATACATCCCACCAGAGGAAAAGAAGTTTCAATCCACTGGTTCAAAAAAGAAAGATCAAAATCCATTGAATATTTTATATCAAACTTGTGATCCTTCTGTGGTTGTTGCAACAGAACTTGATAGGCTTTTGCTTGAAGATCCTGGACTTGATAACCCACCAGCGCAGCTTCTTCCAGAGTCAGAATTGCTCCAAAAATCCTCCGTATCCTTATCCTCAATCGCCCAAGCCATGCAGTCCGAGAAAGGAGTACGAATGATGGATAGGAGATGGCATTGGCGTCTTCATTACAATTGTTTTGTTGGAATGGAATTGACTACTTGGCTGATAAAGAATTTCAGCGATATTGACACACGTGATGAAGCAGTTCAGTTTGGGAATGAACTCATGAAGCATGGACTCTTCCATCACGTACAGCGAAGGCACAATTTCAGAGATGGCAATTATTTCTATCAAATAACGGACGAGTATCGAATATCTAGGCCGGAGTCTAAAGGCGGCTGGTTTCAGAGCCTTAAAGGAGACAAATCAACCCCTAGCACGCCAATGGAGAAGGATGGGGTTAAGGATTCGCCTTCTAGCTTCCGTTCAAGGTCTGAAAAGAGCTCTGATGACGGTGGTGGTAGAAATGAACCTCTTCCACCACCACCGAGGTCGTCCGGCCGGAACAAGGTCGCTATATGGCTGGCAAAGAGCATGAAATACGACTTAGATCCTCGTAAACGGTCAGATCGACCCGAAATAATCGACCTTCACTATGACAGAATCCATAACCCCGAAAACTGCTTCCATATTGAACTAAGCTGGATGAACGCAACCCCCAAGCTAGTTGAAGACGCTGTTGTATCTTGGGCCGGATTGGCAGAGAAATACGGACTAAAGTTGGTTGAACTACCACTTTCCGAGGCCTCGTCAATTGTTGAATCGCAGGTCTTTAGGCGTCCGTTCCCAATCAAGCTGAAACATCA